GGTTGCGAACGGCTAGGCAAGCATGAGCGTCACGGGTTTGCCACTGTGATCAGCAGTAGCAGCAGGTGCGGGAGCGGCGCCGGACGTGTGGTCAAAAAGGGAAACATCGTCCTTGGTAGTGATCTCGAGGAACAGGTGTAGGTCATCGAGCCAAACGTCAAACTTAATCGGACGGCCCTAAGAGTCAAACGTGAGAACGGTAGGACTAGCCATAGTGGCAGTAGCAGTAGCAGCAGTAGCAGTAGCAGAAGTAACAGAAGCAGCAGTAGTAGCTGGGAAAACTAGAACGAGAATAAATGCACTATGAAAGAGTTGGGTACAAGTACTAACCCTAATTGGGTTGTACCCCATATGGGCTACCCCACTACAGCCTACACAAAAGTATAAGCTATAATGTTCTAACACACCCCCATAGGCAAAGTGGGGGAGTACAAGGGGTCACAAGACCAGTCAAGCAAAGCAAAGCAAAGCAAGCTCAGGGTGGATCACAAAGTCACCACACATTCTGAGCACAAGGTCAAGGCCACAAGGCCAGTTCACATGCAGGAGTACATGTATATATAAAAGGCTAGACAAGCAAGAGCAGGTGTATATATATATGTAACAGTACAAGCAAGGTCAAGAGGTGAGCAAGTGAGGCAAGGCAGGCACAAGACCCAGCTGAGTACAGAAGCGCTGATGATCACAAGGCGCAAGCGCCTTGGTGAAGATATCAGCAGTGTTGGCCTCAGAAGCCACGTACGCAAGACGCACCTGACCACGCTGCTGCAGCTCACGAGCAAGGAAGTAGCGAAGAGCAATGTGCTTCGTTCTGTGCTCCAGTCTCTGCTCTCGACACAAGGCCAGCATGGCCTTGTTGTCTACGTACAGCACAGGAGGAGAACGAGGCGGCTCTCCGAGGTCAATCAGCAGGCAGGTGAGCCAGCAAAGCTCCTGTGCAGCCATGGCCCCGGCGTAGATCTCAGCCTCACAACTGGAGCCGAGAACAGAAGACGAGCGGGTAGCCCGCCACGAAACAGAGCCAGAACCAAGGCTGAAGGTGTAACCTTGTGACGACCGCTGCGTAGCCTGGTCGTTGGCCCAAGAAGCGTCTGCGTGCCCAGTGAGGACCACTGGACTCTTCCCTCCAAGCACAAGCCCCATGCCCGACGTACTGCACAAGTAGCGCAACACCCTCTTCGCTGCAGCCATGTGCTCCGGTCTGTGTCTTCCAGGAGCAACATAGCGTGCGAGAATGCTAAGAGGGTATGCAAGGTCAGGTCTAGTGCAGGTCATCAGGTACATGAGGCAGCCAACAAGCTCTAGGTACGGGCCACTCGACTCTACGGACTCATCCGAAGGCAGAGCTGAGAGCGAGTGGCGAGTAGGCAGAGGAGTGGCCTGAGGTGAGGAGTACGTTAAGCCGAAGCGCTGAAGGACCTGCTGCACCATGTGTGACTGAGTCAGGGTAATGGTGCAGCGTGCTCTGTCCCGGGTGATCTGCAAGCCAAGGTAGCTGCGCAGTTCACCCAGGTCTGTGCACGTGTGTCTCTTCTGCAGCTCGGACTTTACGTGGGCGAGTCCAGCAGTGTCAGCAGTGGCAAAGACCAAGTCGTCGATGTACATGAGGATGTAGAACGGCGGCAAAGAAGCGTCGGTGCGCAGAAACAGCGACGGGTCGGCAGTAGAGGGAGCAAACCCAAGAGCCGCAAGCGTAGTCCTCAGTGTGTCGTGCCACTCACGCGGTGCCTGGCGGAGACCGTAGACTGGCCGCCGGAGGCTCCACTGGGTGCCAGGAGGAAAAGTCCTAGTGAAGCCAAGTGGGCGGCGCAACCAGATCTCCTCGTGCAGGCTACCCTGCAAGAAAGCAGTGCTGAAGTCAAGAGAGTGAAGCTCGTAGTCGCATTGAGCGGCTATGTGCAGCAGCACCCGAAGAGTGGTCATCTTCGGGGTGGGAGAGAAGGTCTGAAAGTAGTCACCTCCCTGCCGCTGACTGAAGCCACGAGCCACGTACCGCGCCTTGAAGACAGGCGGAGAACCTGGCGGCCGCTTCACCCAAAAAATCCACATGCCACTGACGATGTTCGCCCCAGGCGGGGGAACCTCGTCAACGTAGGTGCCTGTGGACTTCCAGGAAGCCATCTCTACGTCCATAGCTGCCTGCCACTGAGAGGAGTAGGGACCCTCTATCGCCTCCGCGTGAGAGCGCGGAGTCGGGATGTCAGGTGCATCCGGGTCTCCCTCAGGGGTAAGCAGTACGGACACGAGAGGAGGTGAAGCAGCAGCCAGACACTGGAACTCCTCCTGCCTGTCCTCAAGGACGTCCATGCCAAGGGCACACTCACCCCCGACGGACGGAGGACAGACAGACTCAGACTCAGCGACAAGACTAGCAGCGTAGTCTAGACGACAGCGAGCAGCAAAGTCGACGAGCTCAGCAACGAGGGCTGATGCAGTAGTGGACTCAAAAGAAGGGTCAGTGACGACAGTAGCAAGGAGACGCGTGACAGTAGGACTGGCAGCACGAAGAGAGTCCGACTCCGGGTCGGCAAGAGCAGGAAGAGAGGACTCAAGAGGAGAAGGCAAAGGGGCACGCAGAGGAACAATTGACGGACGCAGAGACATCCGGTGCGTGCCAAGGACAGGAGGAGGACGCTGACGCGAACCGCGACCACTAGCAGGAGCAGCACGAACCGGCGACGCAGGACGAGACGCAGGCTCACGACGCTCAGCAAGACCTCCAGTAGGACCAGTGTAGGGAGAGGGAGCAGGCAGTGGGGAGGCCGGCGGTAATTGTAACTGTGACGGGACAGGCTGTGGACACTCTAAGGGAGGAGGAGGACCAGTAGAAGGCGGGAGACCAAGAACCTGCTGAAGGAGCGGAACAAAGTATGGCCAAGTCCGGTCAGCGACTCCAGACACAGCAGGGACAGTACTAGCACCCCCAGCGGCAGCAACAGCGCCAGCAGCACCCCCAGCTTTAGTACCTCCAGCTGCACCAGTAGCACCTACAGTAGCACCGCCTCCAGGACCGACAGCAGTAGCCTTAGCACCAACACCCTCAGCAGCTCCTGCTCCAGTCGCACCCGCCGGCCCAGCAGCTCCAGTACCTCCAGTACGAGCACCTCCGGGACCCGCGGCACCAGCACCCTCAGCAGCCGAAGACCCTCCAGCTCCAGCAGCACGCCTCCAGCGCCGGGCAAACCACTCGCGCAGCTCCTGTGGAGAGAGTGGCTCCCGCCAAGACGAAGCACCCGGAGAACCTCCAGGCCCAGCACCGCCAGACGCCACACGAGCAGACCCATCCCCCTCAGGCTCCACACCCCCGGGCACAGCACCTCCAGACGTAGCACCCCCAGGCTCAACACCCCAAGGCGTAGCACCCCCAGGCCCAGCACCCCCAGGCTCAGCACCCCCAGTCTCAGCACCCCCAGTCTCAGCACCCCCAGTCTCAGCACCCCCAGTCTTAGCACCCCCAGAGTCAGCACCCCCAGGCTCAGCACCCTCAGCAGCACCAAAGTCACCAGTGACCTCGACAGGCTCGACTGCGTCTACCTGGGAGACACCTGAAGGGGCTGGACCCCTAGGGGGGAGGGGGTCTACCGGGGGGGGACCTGGTACAAGGAAGAGCGGCGGCGGGGGGAGGGACGGAGTGCGGTAGGGGAAGAGGTGGTAGTAGGGGACCGACTCGTCAAACGTGACGTCCTGGGAGGACAGAACACGGCGAGAGGTGGGGTGGTAGAACTGCCACCCTGGCGCGTCAGAGGGGAAGCCAAGGAAGACGCAAGGAGCTGCACGAGGGGACAGCTTGTCCGCAGACAAGTCGCGGACAAACGCCCGAGATCCCCAGACATGGAACGCAGACGCATCGCCAACGGTCCCCGTCCACAGCAAGGCTGGGGAGGTCTCCGGCATGGAGACCCTGGGGTGAAGGTTGATCTGATGCGCCGCGTACCGAACCGCAAACGGCCACAGAAAGTGGGGGGCAGCCGCATGCATCATGGACGTACGGGCGACGTCCATGACCATGCCAATGCGGCACTCAGCAATCCCATTTTGCTGTGGAGAGTCCGGAAGCGTGAAGGTCTGGTGGATGCCTTGTGCACGACAGTAGGCTTGCAGAAGGCCAGAGGAGAAATCTCCGCCTCTATCAGAGTGCAGACGCAGAACATGAAAGTCCGAGATGAAGCTCTGCCTGAGCTGGAGACGAGCTGTGCGGATCCAGTCGATCAACACCTCAGTGACATCACCCTTGCTGCGCAAGGGGAAGACTGTGGTGTAACGCGAGTAGTCGTCAACCACCAGCAGGAAGTAGCGCTCGTGACCCAGTCCACGGATGCGGGCGGGGCCCCACACGTCCATGTGAAGCGTCTGCAGCAGGGCCTCTGTCGGAGGAAACCGGGAGGAGTGAGGGGTAGTCCGCTGTCGTCCCTCGACACAGGGGACGCAGGTAGGGCCAGGCCCCGGAGGAAGGGGAGGGAGGGACCGGGGAAGACCAGAGACAAGGACACGGGAAGCCATGCCTCGGAGACGAGGCAGGGAGGGGTGACCAAGACGGTGGTGCCAGAGGAGAGTCTGGTGAGACAGGAGGCGACACGAGCAGGGGGCAGACTCAGGACCAGACCTGGACGCTGCAGCAAACACCTGACTCGACGCAGCTACCTGACCAGACGCAGTGACTGGAGGAGACTCAGTGGTCAGTGTGTACAGGCTCGACCCCGGCCGACGTGTTAATGTGGCCAGGTGTCGGCCTGTCCGAGCGTCCGTGGAGTGGGTCACCCGCTGACTCGCAGGAGTGAACTGGTGAACCCCCGTATCCTGCAGGTCAGCACCACTCACCAAGTTTGTAGAGAACGAGGGGAGGTAAAGACCAGACAAGGTGCCAGAGGGGGCAGCCGGACACGGGAGGACAGTGGAGAAGTGAGAGAGGACAGGACCCCCAGAGGGGTCTGCCAGGGAGACTACAACCGGCCGACCATGCCTCGGAGATGAAGCAGGGAGGGGTGACCAAGGCGGTGGTGCTAGAGGAGAATCTCGTGAGACAGGAGGCGACACGAGCAGGGGGCAGACTCAGGACCAGACCTTGACGCTGCAGCAAACACCTGACCCGACGCAGCTACCTGACGAGACGCAGGGACAGGAGGAGACGCAGTGGTCACTGTGTACAGGCTCGACCCCGGACGACGAGTAAACGTGGCCAAGTGTCGGCCCGTCCGAGCGTCCGTGCAGTGGGTCACCCGCTGGCTCGCAGGAGTGAACTGGTGAACTCCCCCATCCTGTAGGTCAGCACCACTCACCAAGTTCGTAGAGAACGAGGGGAGGTAAAGACTAGACAGGGTGCCAGAGGGAGCCGCCGGACACGGGAGGAGAGTGGAGAAGTGAGCAAGGACAGGACCCCCAGAGGGGTCTGCCAGAGAGACTGCAACTGGCCGACCAAGCGGCGTGAGTGTGGTGCGGTCTCGAAAGAAGGAGCGGGAAGCCCCCGAGTCAAGGGTGAAGGTGAGGGAGGCCGAAGCCGACTCGGTACCTGAGAGCGCAGACTCACCAGCACCTGAGGAAGCAGACGAACTAGCATCTAGTGCAGCAGCCTCGCTAGCACCTAGAGCAGCAGCCTCACCAGTACCTAGAGCAGCAGTCTCAATGCCCGGGTCGGGCGGGAAACACCGGTAACAGTCACCCTCATCACTAATAGTCACAGCATACATGGCAGCAAGAATAGCATCAAAGTCAAGGTCAAAGATAGCTACTCCCGCCCTAGACAGCTCACCCCAGCGGGGGATCTCCGTGGCCTCCGAGAACTGGTGACGCCAAGCGTCCGTCAGGCGGCCAAAGCAGCGCTGGGTGGAGTGCGCACCCCCACACTGCTCACCCGCGCGATCGCCGGTGCGTAGGACGTAGGTGCACGGACCAGTACCCCCACCCCGCTGGCGTGCAGTGTACCACTCACGGAGCTGCTGAGGGGGGGGGATGTCACGAGTGCGCTGTTGCTGCTGCTGCTGCTGCTGCTGCTGCTGCTGCTGCTGCTGCTGCTGCTGCTGCTGGTGCTGACCACCACCGGAGCCGACCCTCTACGCAGCGCCACCCCGACCAGCTCCACCTCCTCCGCCACCGCCTCCTCCACCGCGGCCACCTCCGCCACCTCCGCTCCCACCGCCACCGCCGCCGTCTCCGCCTCCACTGCCGCCACCGACACCTCCACCCCCGCCACCACCCCCACCGCCACCCCCACTCCCTCCGCCGCCTCCTCCGCCGCCTCCACCGTCCCCGCTAGCTCCTCCAGCGCCCCTGCCCCCCTTGCCCTTGCCAGGGCGGCTTCTCGCGCTAGGGGTAGACGCCGCACCGACCGACTCAAGCCCAACGAGGTCGGCCGCAGCAGCAGAGGCAACAGAGGGCAAAAGGGGGGAGGGGGAACACCCTTCAAAGATGGGGGTGCGAGGGTCACCACGAGAGGCTCCTACAACGACTATGCTCTTCTTCGCTGCTAGGAGGGCCTTCTCGAGGAGGTCAACGGTGAGAGTGGTGGGGCAAACTGAGAGGAAGTGGTCCCTGACTACGCGAAGGGAGTCAGGGAGGCGGGTAACTATGTAGTAGAGAGTGATGTACATGGGGGGGGGGTTCTTGGCACAGAACTCAGCAGGAAGCGCAGCGCGGTAGCGAGTGTCACTAGTGCGGAGGTGCGTAATGAGGTCAGCGACTGTGGGAAAGGCAGCAAGGTCAGGGAAGAGGTATGGTAGCATGAGGCGGCTCAGTGCAGCAGTGGCAGGGGAGGAGTAGCGTGCAACTACAGCGTTGTACAGGGTTTGAGCACTCTTGTACTGGCTAAAGTGCGCACGCTCAGAGGTAGGAAGGTGGCGACGCATAGCAAGACGTGCAGTAGCATCGCGTGTGGCCCACTGTGAGCAAACAGTGGCGTCAGCATCAGCAGTAGGGGCAGGAGAGGCACCAGAGGTGAGGTCAAAGAGGGAGAGACCGTCTGCCCTATCGCACTGTAGGAAAAGCTGCAGGTCATCTACCCAGACGTCAAAGTCAATGGCCCGACCCTCAGCGTCAAAAGCGAGGACACTAGGGGTAGCCATGACAACAGTAGACTAGTAGTGGAACAGTGGGGTAAGGGCAGTGCAGTGACAGAGGCGCTGCTCTTACCGGACAGGGCGGCTCGGCGGCTCGGCGGCTCGGCAGGAACTGCAGCTCGGCGGCTCGGGCGGCTCGGGCGGCTCGGCGGCAACTGCGGCTCGGCGACTCGGCGGCTCGGGCGGCTCGGGCGGCTCAGCGGCAACTGCGGCCCGGCGACTCGGCGGCTCGGGCGGCTCGGTGGTACGGCGGCTCGGGCGGCTCAGGTGGCGTGGCGGCTCGGGCGGCTCGGGTGGCGCTGGCGGCTCGGCAGTAGCTCGGCGGGGCCGCGTGAAGGCGGGGCCGGGGACGGGAAGGGCGGGCGACGGGGCCTGCAGAGGCTGGGCCGGGGCCGGGAAGGGCAGTGCCGGGGCCGAGAAGGGCGGCGTCGGGGCCGCAGAGGTAGGCGACGGGGCTAGCAGAGGCGGGGCCGGGTCGGGAAGGGCGGCGTCGGGGCCGGGAAAGGGCGGCGCCGGGGCCGCAAGGTAGGCGACGGGGCCAGCAGAGGCTGGGCCGGGTCGGGAAGGGCGGCGTCGAGGCTGAGAAAGGGCGGCGCCGGGGCCGCGGGGTAGGCGACGGGGCCGCAGAGCGGCGGATCGGGGCCGGGAAGGGCGGCGCCGGGGCCAGCAGAGGCAGGGCTGGGCCGAGAAGGGCGTCGTCGGGGCCCGGGAAGGGCAGCGCCGGGGCCGCGGGGTAGGCGACGGGGTCGCTAGGGCGGCGGATCGGGGCCGGGAAGGGCGGCGCCGGGGCCGCAGGAGTAGGCGACACGGCCGCTAGGGCGGTGGATCGGGGCCGCTAGGGCGGCGGGACGCAGCCGCTAGGGCGGCGCGACGGGATGGGGCCGCGAGGGCGACGCGACGGGGCCTCTAGCGCGACGCGACGGGGCCGCTAAGGCGGCGCGAGAGGGTCGAGAGAGGGGAGCGCGACTCGGGCAGGAACTGAGCGCGCTCCAGGCAGGAAAAAAAAAAATTCGAATTGGTGGGCCCTAGGAACAGTTCCCACGAGGGAACCTGCTCGATTCCATGAGAAAACTAGAACGAGAATGAATGCACTATGAAAGAGTTGGGTACAAGCACTAACCCTAATTGGGTGGTACCCCATATGGGCTACCCCACTACAGCCTACACAAAAGTATAAGCTATAATGTTCTGACAGTAGCAGTAGGAGCAGTTAGAGTAGTTGCTGCAGGTAGGGCGGCGCGGCTCGGACAGGGCGGCGCGACTCGGGCGGCGCGGCTCGGGTAGGTATGGCGGCGCGACGGCGGGCCTATGCTCGGTGCGCGGCGGCCGCACGCGGGTGGCGGCTGCGTTCGTGCTGCGGCTAAGCGCTAGCTGCAGCAGCCGACGCGCGATTGCCGCTGCGCGCTGGCTGCGACCTGCAGGCGGGCGGCTGTGAGTCGCGCGTCGGCCTAGGGGCGAGCGGGGCCTACGGGCGACGGCCTGCTGGGGCTCGCGAGAAAAAATCGGGCCGCCCTAGGCGGCGAATTTCCTACGCACGCTAAAACGGCGGGGCCGCGATCGGGCTGCTAGCGGGCTGCAGACGAGCAGCTTGAGAGGAGAGCGCACGAGGGCGCACTAGGAGAGAGGCGCACGAGGGCGCACTAGGAGAGAGGCGCACGAGGGCACTAAAAAAAAAAAAAGGGGCGCACGAGGGCACCTCTAGCGGACCGGTGGGCCCTTAGGTCTAGAACCTAAGCTCTTAATACCATGTCAGAAACAAGAAGTGATTGAACTAGGAAGATTGGTGGTACAAGTATGAAACCCTAAAGTATTGTACCCCCCAAAGGCTAACCCACTGTAGCCTACACACCAATAACATATATAATGTTTGACATTTCTTCTCTATCAAGTAATCTAACTGCTTCCTTAGTTCGTCGAGCTCGGGTTGTGTCACTCTGAACTGGCGCTGTATAGTTGGCTGTGCCCCCGGTTCTAATTCTATTCGGTGGTCATGAGAACGCTGAGGTGGCAGTCCTTCCGGTAAGTCGTCGGGAAAAATCCCGTGGTATCGTTTCAACGGTTCCTGTAGTTCGGGCGGTACCGCTGCCAGCAGTTTCTTGAAATCACTCGGCTGCTCTGCCCCCTCTACCACCGCAATGTCTACTGCGTACACGCCAGCTCCGGCAGCGACAACCCGTTTCATGGTGACGGCATTGACGAGAACCGTTGAAGACTCGGGTGACTGCCAGCAAGGTAGCTCAACCCAGTTACCGCTACTTTGCACAGTGCAACTACCCGTCGTCCAGTCAATTCGCGGGTTAAACCGTCGCAGCCAATCACGTCCTAGTAAAATGTCGTGCCCATCTAGTGTCGTTGCGAGCATTTCCTGTGTAAATCCGAAATTTCCCCCGCAGCGGACTTTGACTCTCTCCAACCTTTCCCGTATGGCCAGTGGCGTGCCGTCGATTAAGCGTGCGTCTATCTCATGTAAACAACGGCTAAGTGTCAGTTGCAGTTTTCGTGCGGTTGCGGTATTAACTAAACTCTGACTTGCTCCTCCGTCGATAAAAATATTCACTGCTGCTCCCTGTATTTTCCCGTGGATCAGTACTAGGCAATCCGTCGCTGTACCCTCCTTATTCGTCCGAGTCCGATCGATAGCATGAATCGGTACTGTGACTCGGTGAGGGTCGGTGGGGTTGGGCGAGCAGGCAGTCTCGTCAGTAGTTGGCCAGATTCCTATTGACTGCTAGCGTTTCCCTGCCTTGGAGACTCCCTCCCCTGCTCTGCTCCGCGGCGCCTCAGCTCCTCTGGGCATTCACTCTCGCGATGGCCCGGCCTATTGCAAGCAAAGCAGCGCCCTTTAAACGGCGCGGCAGCTGCATTTGTCGCAACGGCATGTACGGTGGCGTGCTCGATCGGTCCTCGAGGGCGATGTCCGTAGTAGGACCCCGGTCTCGGACGGCGCAAAATGTCGATTAACTCGGCGAGCGCGAGAATCTCGTTGAATTTCGAGAGCCCGCGTAGCATGATCTCGTGCGAAATGTCTGGCTTCAGCCCTCCGACGTAACGGTCCACCCGCTCCGCCTCGTGCATGTAGCCGACTTGCTCGCATAATGCGAGAACACCACTCGTGTAGTCTTGAACCGGCCCGAGCTGCCGCCAAGTACGCAGTCTCTGACGCGCCGAAATAGAAGCCGCGATCTGCTTGAAGCGCGCCCGAAGCTCTGCGCACCACGCATCCCACGTGCTGTACTGGGCGGTTTCGCAAAATGAACTCCAGGTGAGGGCTGGACCCGTGGGCCCTTCCTCTTGCGACGGTGGCTTGTAGGCGTGTGGCGACGTCACGATGACTCTGTCAAACACTATATATATGTGTTATTGCTGTGTAGGCTATAGTGGGTTAGCCTATAGGGGGTACACAACTTTTAGGGTTTCATACTTGTACTGCAATGCTGTCTAGTTCATTCACTTCTTGTTTCTGACATGGTATTAAGAGCTTAGGTTCTAGACCTAAGGGCACACCGTTCCGCTAGAGGTGCCCTCGTGCGCCCTTTTTTTTAGCGCCCTCGTGCGCCTTTCCCCTAGTGCGCCCTCGTGCGCTCTCCTATCACGGTGCCCGTGTGCAGCTCGCTAGCAACCCGAGCGCGGCCCCG